CGTGTGTGTTTTCTCACAGCGGTGACATGAAGGCCCACCTGGTGTTGCTCAGTAAGACAGCAGACTCCATCTCTGACGGCGATCTGGTGGACAGACGGATCCGCTCAGGGCAAAACTGGTCGCTGCTCCCCACCCAGGTAACACACACACACTACATATGACGAAGTACAATTTGTACAACTCTCCTCTGATGTTGGATTGATTTACAGTGTAGTGATCGCAGGTACATGTGCAGCTGATGCCGTACACAGTCCTGCAAGAATGCAAGAACATGCTTATTCTTGCAGTTACCTAATACACTCAGACACCTGCTCAAGTGATGGGGCAGAGAGGTTCATAGTTATGTTTTTCTCTGTGCGTTTGTAGGCTATCTATGCCAGTGTGTTACCAGGTGAGCTCATGAGAGGCTACATGGCTCAATTCCCCGTCTTCCCCAGCTGGCTCGGTAAACACTCCTCCACCAATAAACACTCTCGCATCGTCCAGGAGCTGGCCTCACACATGAGCTTAAAGTGAGTTTTTTGTTTTTTGTTTTTTTAAAAAAAACTTATTTACACATTTACAAACGCAAACTCTGTCTCGAGTATTTGACAGTTTCATTTGCTTGTCTCCTGCAGGACGATGAGCAGCAGACAGGCAGTTAACCTGGACTACCTGCCCTACCTGCGACAGGCACTGCTCAGTCCACTACAGAAATACGGAGCAGAGGGAGCCAGCCAGGCTGTGCAGCTGCTGGACGACTACCAGCTCATCAAGGAGGACGTGGAAAGCATCATGGAGATCAGTGTCTGGGGTGGACAGCCTGACCCCTACTCCAGACTGGACTCCAAGGTGAGCAGCAGGCGGGAGGATGTCGTTTGGTTTGTGGGTTTGATTGGAAATAGTGGTGGAAAATGTCATTTAAGGAATTCTGCCAGTGTTAGTTTAGGCAGCTGTGGTTGGCTGACAACACTCACAGCATTCCTTAGCATCAATCTACTTTATGTATTTATCCACTTAGAGCTACAAGGGTTGATTACAATGCTGAGCCCACACATTGTTTTACAAGTATAATAAGTTAAAACTTTTTTGGCAACTAGCAAGATGCCATAACAGTCTGTAGACGCAACACTGACATTTTAATTGCCTCTTGGCTTGATACAGATATCTTTCTGGATGCCTGATCCAAAGGCTCCAAAGGCTTAATTATATGCAGCAATAAACAAGTTATTATAGCAGGGAAATTCTTAATTTGTTGTGTCTCTAACTAGTGCCGTAATTAATCTGTTTACAGAATACATTACAGTTTTTCTCAGTCGCTTTGGTACATTTCTCAGATCAGAATTGAAATTCTCAAAACTAGTTGTCCAGTCTTCACATCATTGTGTCACTTGTGCACATCAAAAAAGCAGTTTCTCATTTCTTTGAACAAGTTCTAAATGCTTTGGTACATGCATGCAAATGATTATGTACAATCCTCTGCTGTTTCCTACATTATCTATTGCTTATGTCATGTTGATCAAAATGTATTATAATAGGTCTCTGTTGAATAGTCTCACCCCCCACAACATTTAGGCATTAGTTCAGCGCATACGTCTTTACATGCAAAATGGTTGAACAAGTTGTCAGAATATGTCGAGCACATTTCTATACATTTCCATTAGACTTTTTTTCTAAATTGGTAAATTGCTCCCAGATGAATCTTCACTTTCTCTAATGAAGGGAAATGTGTGTGGCACTACATAGATCAGCCAACGACCAATCAGTTTTCTAAAATAGCTCAAAGTGCATCTTATGACCCATCAAATGGCAACTATATAGCCGGAGCACAACACAATGTTACAATGTCTGACAATGGAAGGACAAGGAATTGGACGGAGTCAACAGCCAGAGAGAAGAAGAAGAAGAATGAGGCTGCATGGCGGAGGAGTTGGGAGGCAAAACAGAGGAAGAGGCAGAAGAGGCCGAGGACATATGCACGTTCCTGATGAAATAAGAGCCACACTTGGAGACCATGTTCTCAATCATGGGCTTACAGTGGCCGAGGCTGGTAGAAGGGTGCAGCCAAATGTTGGAAGAACAACTGTGTCCTCAATCTTTCAGACTTTTCGTTGACAGAACAGGAATGTAATCTAACAATAGGCACTGTCCTGTAATACTGTATACTGTCCGTAATGCTTCATGCGATATTACAGTATTCTTACAGTATCGCCATACGATACAGAGCGTCTTGTCACCTTTTTAGACACTCTCTACAAGGATCTCATCCCTGAACAAGAGAGGGCTCAGATTGGAGATGACTTGCCAAAGTATGTGACAGTTTGGAACAATGTCAGTTTCTATCACTCCAACATCATCAGACAATGGCTTGTGACCCACAACAGGATGCTGATGGAGTTCCAGTCACCCTACTCCCCATTCCTGAACACCATTGAGGAATTTTTCTCAGCATGGAGATGAAAAGTACATGATCGCCAGCCACATACACAGATGACCCTTCTGGCTGCCATGGATGCAGGCATCTGAATAGGACACTTTCTGTACCGCAATGACATGGTCTGTCAACAAATTACAGGACAAACAGTAAAAGCCTAAATGTGAATCTTGTCCAGTCTCTTGCAGTCAGTCTCCCACATACACTAAGGTGTAACTCACAATTTACAATAATTGTCATCAAAACTTTAGCCATAGTTTACATCAGAACATCCCTCCAGACTAGACTGTTATACTGACAACATGACGAAACAATCTGACTGTCTTCTGTGTCTGCACACATTGACACAAGGACTTGTCATTCTGATGTCACTGACATGTTCATTGACACATATTTACTTTTTAGAGATGAAGTAAGGATTTTGAGCAAGTAACTGCTTTTTGCAGGTAATCTGTGGTGTTTTGCTATTCGTACGAATTGTTTTGAGAAGTGCACTTACTCTTTTGGAAATGTCGAGGATGACTTGAGAAATGTACCAAAGCAACTGAGGAAAAACTGTAAATCAGAGGCTTTCATAACTCGCATCCTCTCATACACATCGAGGTAACAAATATAAAAATACAAAAACAATGCAAAATGTACATGAAAAACAGTATTTAAAAAAGCGACATTCAACTTAAATATACAAAGAAAGCAGAGTGCAAAAGAGCATTTGCAGAAGAAACGTAGTAAGGAAAAAGGTGTTTTGTGGTGCCTGGTGGTGATAATGTTGGTCTAATGTTCAGTCTCATTTTAGCTCTGTTTTGCCTCCACGAACTCCTGAGAAAAATTTGTGGCTCTTTAGCCACCAAATGTTCTGTTGTGTTCACCAGGGAGCTGCTTACTTTGTCATTTGATTGCGTACAGTTTTTTATAGAGCTTTTTCATTGCCTGTTGCTGAAGACAGGAGTCATGCAGAGATGTGAAAGATGCTCAGTAGAACTTTAGAGTCAAGTGAGAATTCTCCGTGCAACACATTTTGTATCTGTAGTCACATGAATAAGTGTTAATATTTGGAAAAAAATATTAGCTTAAAGGATTTTTTTGTTTGATTGCATGTCTTTGTCTGACATACAGTTTTGACACCTGTGCTGTCGGTCTCTTTCCAGGTGAAGGCTGCTTTTACGCGAACGTACAACAAAGAGGTTCATCTGACGCCGTACTCCCTACAAGTTGTGAAGAAAGGCCGTCGGGGCGGCGGCGGGGAGTCGGAGTTAGGAGGGGAGGAAATGGGCCAAGATGTTCAGGAGTCTGAGGACGAAGGGGAAGGCCTCAAAACGGATGCTATGATCAAAGTAAGGGAGTTCAAACTGATCATGTGTAAACTGATTTCATCTTGTCTATGCTAAAAGTACTGTCAACATCTTTTGTGCTTATTTCTCACACGACTCACATGTTCCTCTGCAGCAGAAGAAGGCCAAAGCCACAAAGGAGTCAAATAAGGACAAGAAGGAAGATTCTGGAAAGGGGAAGGGGAAGGGGAAGGGGAAAGGCAAAGCGAAGAAATGATGGATTATCCGAGGAGGAAAACAAACAAACTGTGTGTCGTCTGCTGCCATAGACCGTTATCATTTTCTCTGCACTTACATCAATCCATTGAAGAGTATCAGAAAGTACTGACACTGATCTTTATCTCAGCAGGTAACTCATCTAAACACCAAACTAACACAGCAACACAAGCATCTTTCCATTTTAAATTTTAGAAAATAAATAAATAAATAATTACTTTCTGTCACGTTTCCATCAGAGCATCTGAACAAATGATGCATGTTATCACATTGTTGCACCTGCCATCATGTCTGTCCATCTCTGTAGTCTCATCAGGAGTATTGTGCATTCCTTCAGTCATCAGTTTGTGGTCCACGTGTTTAGGATGTAAATAATGTGACGCTAACGTAGAAGACTGTTACTCTTTGCTACAATACAGAAATGTCTTTGCTTTTGATCTACGGTTAGCATTGATGATCGTTTCCTGTAAATTGCAATTTTGTAAAAAATTTCATGAGGATTAATAGAGAAATATGTTGCTCATGACTGTTGGTTATTGTCTTTTATTCTGAATGAAAAGAGAAAGCAGACACGCTTTATGAGAAAGTTATGTTTAAACTTTGCTCACACTTGTCCTGAATATGGACCATAATCGCAGATGACTTATTATTACTCAAATATGTTTTGAAAAAAATCGAGTCACTCAAAAGACAATGTATGCGAGGAAATGAAAATTATATTCAGCAGGAATGTCCAACGATGAGACGTTGTCCAGCGACAATAATGCCAAATACATTAAGATATCAAGGTTCAGTTGTTATGTGCAGTTGTCCAAATTCCTTCGGTTGCTCTAAAATCAGTTTTCACGCCAACTTCAGAGCTGAAAAAGTGAATTCATTGATTTGCTGATCATCAGAAAATAGACAATCAACATTTTGTTAATCAGTTAACCGTTCTAGGTCATTCTTTAAGCACACGTAATAAAAATTCTGAGATTTCAGCCAATAAACTGAGTATTAGCTTTGTCCCTCAGTTTTCTATCACAGTAAACTGAATATTGTTGGGTTTTGAACAGTTTATTTCACAAAACAAGAGCAATTTGCCACCTTTTGCTATTTTGACATATATATTTGAGAAAATAGGATTACTCCATTAATGATAGTAACTGTCATAGTACTGACAGAAATTCAAATATTCTCATTCGTACAGAAACATTTGTTTGAAGCATCTTTAGCCCCTTCATTTACAATGTTTTACTCAAATTTAAAATCGTAAAATCACCCTCAAAAAGTTTTTGCAAATATGAATACAGAATATTGTAAAAATTCACAACCCTCTAAGAGGTGTGGTGGGAAATTCTTTTTCTCTGCTATTTTTGCATTCGTTTGCAATGCTTGCATTTCCTCTCATCCAAAGCTGAGCCGTGCAACGAAAGAGATAACTGCTGCTGGCTGTGACCACAGCACCAGGCGGAGCAGCTGTGCCTGCTCAGGCACAAGTTTGTACGATTGCAGTTAGAAAGAAAACGAACTCCTGTGGTTTCCTAACACTTCTGTGCAGAAGTTCCACCAGGAAATGCAAACTTTTAGTTAAAAACAAAAGAAGCGTAGAAAAACGATTCCCACTGTGACAAACAGTCTTAAATATACAATTTAAGCAAAATATACATTTTTACTTTACATTTGGTCTCATGGTTGGTGTTTAGTTTATTTTATTGTTTTTCTTCATTAATCCAGTTCATCAGTCTGCAGGTATTTCGAACAATCAGAGATCTTCTTCACCTGTGTGGCGCTCAGACTCTCAGAGCACATGGGACATGTTGTCTCAGTTTCCAGCAGCCTGAAACAAAGTTCAATGTACATCTGTGAATACGATGAAAGTTTGGCAGAAAACCATCAAATTGTAGGAACTATACATATTCGCTTCCAGGTGTAGAGTTAGATGACAAGATCGCTGCGCCTCTTATGTTTGTTGGGTGTAAGCATAGACTGTATAAAGGGTGTAAGGCTACGGCCAGAAAACTTTTACCGTAGCTTAGCATAAAGACAGAAAACAGTAGGTCTGATTACCAGCACTGTTTGCAATCAGTTTTATTGTAAGCACTCTTAGCATGTAGCAGCTATAGCAAATACTGTTGCCTTGGACACCTGCAGCACTGCACTGTGGTTGCACTCTTGACAACTTGTTACGTGATCATAATGGACATGTAGTAACTAACCAGAAATAAGCTGCATTAAAAAACAACTGTGTGCTAGTTGTCATATCAACTAACGATCTGTCGCTAGTAGTGATTGTGTCTGGAGATAACTGAAGTTTTTTTTTAAAACTTCCTCCATTGTATGTTGCTTTGCATTGAATTTTAAATGTCAATCAGATTGATGAGACCACAAATCTAAAGAAAAAACAGAAAAAAAAGTCTTCTATCCTTTGAAATTCGAAAATTCAAATAAGCTGGTTTAATAGTGTTGATTGCAACTTCACTTTTATGTGGTCAAAAACAGTCACACTGCAGTGTCTATAATTTGCAAATAATTCAATTCGCTTTTGATGAAAATCTATAACTACATTCAAACACAGTTAGTGCCACTTACAGAATAAACTGTGAGAAGAGAGCAGGGAATTCACAATGAGGACAGATGGACCAGTCTTCTTTCAGCATATGACGACCCTGACGAACAAGAAAATGTAACACGGATAGAATGAAAAAGTACAGACAGATAAAGAGGAATATTATCCAAAAGAAATGCAGCGTATGAGTGGTCATGTGTTTGTACCGTGGCGATGCAGTAAGGAATGTTGTTCTTGCAGGAAATACACAGCAGTTCATTCTGTGGCAGCTGGAAGCCACAGAAGGGACATGGAGTAGTCTCCTCCTCCAGCTCTGATGTGTCAGGACGTCTGTGGTTCAGACATAAACATAGCAAAGACAAAGATTAAGAGGTGATGTAGGATAGAGGGGGAGAAGAAAGTGAGCATGGAACAAGTAAGAACAGATGAGGCAGGAAGTCCATACAGTTTGTGTGAAGAACAACATCCCCATCACTCACCGAACCATAGCCTCAATCTTCTTCCTGTACTTTGTGTCGATATCATTTCGGTACTCTGGTCTCATCAACATGGCAGCGAAGCTGAAGGCAGAGTTCTTGAGTCCAGCACGGTGACATTCGATTACTGCTGACGTCAGAATGGGAACAACATCTACACACACACAAACACTGATGAGACTTCTGTCAAATAAGTTAAAAACTGTAGTAACATTCAGGCCTTATTTAGATCTTTGTTGTGAATTGGACTGTAGATTAGAGCTGGAGGGAGGGTAAATTCTCCATGTTGACTCACGTGCAGGAAACTTGCTGATGGTGTTGCTGACACGAATGAGCAAGCGCGCTCCTTTCAGGTGGTCTCCTCTCTTTACATGGATCTACATTAAAAACAGTTCACAAAGTTAGAAACACTTACCCAGATATACATTAATACAAGTTTTTGGAAAAGAAACTCTATGAAAGCCAAACATGCCTTGTGACATGGCTGATAATGCTGACAGTATATCAGCCGTTCTTCGTAATGCGCCCTGACAGAAGTCATTGAAGTTTGAGCATGAAAGGGATGAAAGTCAAGCAGAGGCATGTGTCAAAAAGGTGTCGGCATGAGGAGGTTTCAGGCTGTTTTTTTACTGTCCTAGAATTCAATTCAATTCAATTCAATTCAATTTTATTTGTATAGCGCATATTTACAACAACAAGTCATCTCATAGCGCTTCACAAAGGCAGAAACAGAAACACCCAAAAATCCAAAACATCTGGATTCCCTATAAGCTTCAGCAGTCCGCAAGCAGTCCACAACAGTGGGAAGGAACCGAAAACCCCCGCAGGGGAAAAAAAACCTCCGACAGAACCAGGCTCAGGGAGGGACGGCCATCTGCCTCGACCGGTTGGGTGGATGTAGGATGAATTATACAATGTAGTTTAAAGAAGCACTTTCTGTCAAGATTACTGGCACCTTTACTGTTGTTCATTATAGAAGATATTACAAGTTTGAACAGTTCATTCATATGTTCTCATCAAGGACATAATCTCCCATTTATTTTACATATACTGTGAGGTCAAATAAAAGTTGAAATGTCCAGGAGGACATTTTTTTTTGTCATTGCTGATATTGAACAGCATTCTTTCCAGATGACACGTGGCTGAGGGGCACATTACTCCATTAATTTGCGAAGTACTGGGATCAAGTAAAAACATCCTGTTCATGCCTGGCATTAACATGTCTTTAATCACAAGTGGCCTGATCTAAGAATGCATCTCCACATGAGTCTGGAGTGACCACTTGTGATCAGATCTCACTTTTCTGCTCTATGCAAATAAACTTGTACATTATTTTCACTTGCAAAGACCAAATGCCAGAGTCATGCACAGGTCCAATTTTGTGAATCTCTATCCGCCCACATCGGCATAGCTCAGTAGAAGTAGCAAATTTGCAATTATCTCCAAGTCAAATCCAGACCTGCCCTGACCTGTGATTACACACACAGGCCACACAGTCATTCACTTTAAAGAGCTTTATTTTTACTCAAACCGTTTGCAGAATGAATAGCTCAATAATTCAAAATACTTAGAGCTGTAAACTTGTGTCTGGATCACCTAAGAGATGGTAATGCCAAGTAAGAGCAGGGCCAAAGGCACAACAGTGGAAGAAAGGCAGACGGGCGCCCTGGTATGCTTCTTCAGAACTGTTCACCAGATAACTTTAGAATACTGTACAGTGGCATAAATGTACCAATATTTTTTGAGAGTTAGCTTCAGAGAAGCAGCATGATGGACATCATCTGGACTGACCTTGACCAGCAGATAGGAGTGGAGGATCATCAGATTGGTGGCCATCTCAGCAGGGATCTTAATCTTCTGAGCCTGCAGCTCTGTGTACATGCTGAACAGCACATCATGGGCGTTACGGTAGTTACCTATAGTAGTAACACACACAAAAAGAAAACACAATTAGTATATGAATGAACTTGTTATGGTGCTTTAAATTGGTACATCAGCATTTGGTTCATGTTTGTGTAATTACGTTTGTACCTGCACACTGCTCCTCTCTGGCGATGATGATGGCAGTGCGAGCAGCTTCCCTGTACTGCTGCAGAGCCATATACAGACGGAACAGGTACTTTGCATCCTGGGAGGAAAAAAGAAACGTCACTCAGGGCTTTTTGTACATACATGAACACAAGTGGTAATACAATAACAGTACTGGGGCTTTTTCATTTTGTGCCTACAATCTGTGAATCAGTGTCTGATTTAAGACAACATATAATGACAGTCAAGAACTGGGGTTGTCTACCTATAGATGTATATCTAAGTGGTTGTGGAAAACAAGTGCTAAGTTTTTTTCTATAAGCTATAGTACAGTATAGTATAATAATATAAATAAGCAGTAAGTTAAAGTTCTGAGAAAAATAAACTCCTCTTAGGCATATTTAATAATGTTTTAACACTTAAAATCTTCGCAAATCTTCAGGATTGTGTGTGTGTGTGGTTTCAGTGCATTAACTCTACAAACACTGTGATCAGATGTTCATGCAAATGTTGCTACATTTTAAACAGAGGATAGAAATGCACAACATCACATTTTTACAACAGAAACTCCCACCAGACAAGAACACAGACAAAAATCTGTTTTAACTTTGTTGTTCTTTATGTAGGAACCCCAATGCTTTGAGTATGAGCTGATTCAGAAAACTGTTTTTAGGAACCTTCAATGCATATGTGTAGAGGCACACTTTACTGACTATAAGCAGATATGATCAAATTGCATTAACAGATCAGTCTTGTTTGACAAATAATGCACATCTTTCAGCTGGACAGTTTAAAATGAGTAAATCTGGCCCTCACTGTTTTACCTCCCTGATAACAGCAGCACTGAACATGTTCTACATCAGTGCTTCAAGGCAGCATTTCAGAGATACTTGCAGGGATGTACTTTACTTACGACATATCTTACTAACTTAATTGGTGATTCTAAATTGTCCGTAGGTGTGAATGTGAGTGTGCTTGGTTGTCTGTCTCTAGGTGTGGCCCTGCGATGGACTGGCGACCTGTCCAGGGTGTCCCCTGCCTTCGCCCTAAGTCGGCTGGGATAGGCTCCAGCCACTCCGCGACCCTAGTGAGGATTAAGCGGTGTATAGAAAATGGATGGATGGATGGATATCTTACTAACGTCTCTGTTATGATGCGAATAGCCACCTGACTTCCTCACAGACAACTTGCCAAAAAACCTAATTCCTGCTAGCTCTCTGCACAGCTGTCAGGCCCATAATTTCTAAAAACACAAGCTTTGTGAATATGTGCCCTCATTTCCAATTTTACACCACCCTTGCAGATTAGAAAATATATTAAAGTATAATGATTATTTAAATTCTGAAATAACAATAATAAAATCATGCAGCTAGAAAAGTCACAATTTCTGAATTAAAGTCAAAACAGCAGGATCCAGTGTTCCAGTGTACATATTACCTTCGGCATACCGTCACTTTCCCCCATCAAGTAATCTATCAGCTGATTGGTCAAAGAGGCATCCTTGGCCTGGCCCACCTGGAACACACATCCAAAAACACACATTCACCTGAATGTCCAGTTTGTTTTGTACTGACAAGCTCAGTTTGACACACACAGCTCTCACCGTCTCAATAGCCATCTCAATTGCCATATTGTCTTCGTTGTTGGGACACTTCAGGAAGTGCTTCAGGGCCTGAGAGATGGCGGGCAGAAACAAAGAGAAAGTGTGAGTTAATTTAAATGATGTCAATGATAAAGTTATTAATGAGTAAATAAATGAATGGTTCTCACTCTGCTGTACTGCCCACACTTCTGAAAGAACTTGCCAGCCTGCAGGTGTTTTTTCTCTCCCTCAAAGTAGAGAGCAATGCTCTGGTAGTCCTCCTGTGTCGCATCAGAGCCTGACGAACACAAATCCCACCAGTCACGAAATTTCAGACATTTTTTACCAAACTTACAGACCATTTAATTAAAATGGCATTGACCGAAAACAGCTCAGGCCACGAGCAAAAAATGTTGCTACTATATGTTTCCTACACACAGACTGACCGATGATGTCTGCATAGACCTCCATCTGTCCATGCTGCTGCGCCAGCTGGAAAGCTTCATCATTGCACTGAGACAGAACCAGGAAGTGGATGGCTGAGCCATAGTCATTCAACCGCAGGAAGAACCTGGAGCACACAGAAAAATGTTAAACATTAATGTCCAAATGAAAAAAACTAACATTAGTTGACAGAAATTTAATCAGCAGCAACTTTGATAATTGATTAATGAATTTCAATTAATTGAATGAATAATCAATAATTAATCCATAGTGACAATACTCAGTTGTTTTCTTTAAAAGAATTTGTTTTGAATGACTGATACTGCAAATGTATCTAGCAGGTACAACTCAGTCTGTGTAGGTCAACATCAGCAGTTGTAAAAGAAGTGATGAGGATGTTCAAGAAATGTTTACGTGAAATGATAGGAATTGGAAATACAAATACTATTGTGCCATTTCCTGGTTGTAGGTGTTGTTCCTGTCAAAATAGCTTCTTTCTTTGAATTGTAATAGACTTCTCTGGTTCATACGTGCAGTAGGTGACAACTGCTGTGATGGATACAACTAAACTACAATTACTGCCATTATTATAATATTATTATTATTATGCCTCCATTAACCACTGAATTTGCAGTTTACATTCATGCCTGTCTAGATTCATACAATATATGTAGTAAAGAGTGTGAAGGAATCTAATAAGTGGGCACACAGGATTATTGTCACCAGTTCAGTGTTCGACCAAATGTGAAATATGGTTTCAATCTTCCCTTCTGTGTCAGGGTCACGGCGTTAAAAAATGGCCTGAAAGGTGTTTTCACAGAACATTATGATATCACAATGAAGCTGAATTTTGATCTTTATATACATATAAAATGTCATCACTTATAAATAATCAATAATTGAAAAGTAATGTTAGAAAAGTGAGCGTTCTGGCTTAGCTTTAAGGCATAGTGACAGTGAGCAGAAACTCCTCACTAGTCTCTAAGCCTTAGCCTGTTTTCGGTTGCCTGTTCGTCTTACCTGGCAACCATCTTTGCTCCATCGATGCTCTGTGTCTCCCTAACGACACGAACAGCATCCTCGGGATTGTTCAAGTGGTCCAGCAGCACACGGATCACGTTGTCCCAGTCTTTCGCACTTTCATAGGCACGTGCTGCGTCCTTATACCTGATGGACACAGTAGACATTAGATCAAATTCTCCTTTAAAGATATAGTCATCTGCAGAGGATACATATACAGAAACTAAGAACCTACTTGCCGTCTGCCTCCTTGGCCTTTGCATACTGGAGGTGAATCTTGGGAGAGGAGACATTTGGGAGCAACTCTCCCACCTTCGCCCTGAACAACATAATACAGAATGGCATTAAGAAGGAGAGAAATTTGTAGATGTGAATGTTGGTGTGTGTTGATATTTGTCTCACCAATTCTTGCAGCGAATGTAGACGGATGCAGCTTTGTCGTAATATTGACCTTTTTCATAGAGCTGAGCGGCTTCAGAGAATTGCTGAAATAAGAAAAAGACGACCACCAAAAAACATTAAACATGCGCAAACATACTGTTAATCATTAATATGGGCATCTACCAAAACACATCATTAACAAAAAGAAAGCAATAAGGCTAAACTCACCTTCATGCTCTCCAGTATGGCTCCACATTCCTTCTTGAGGACTCTGCTTGGGTGCTGAATAGCCTGAGCTGCTCCTCTCCTGATGTCACCCATCCTGATGGACATCCTGGCTACACCTGCCTGGCACGCCTCGTCATGGTCCTGGATCAGCACGGAGAGGGGGAGAATGAAACGGGTGAGAACAGACACTGTAAAGGGAATTACTTTTCTTACATCGCCTCAGACTGGAGCCTTGAATGTATTTCCTGCTAAACTGTGCTGAAAACAACAAAGACAAAGAGGAGAAGCTGAAAGGATCTAAGCCTGATATATAGTAAATCCTCATACCAGACTTGTAAGGATTCTGTGTAAATGTAAACAGAGTGGAAAGGACAACAAACTGTGGTAAGGAGAAAAGACTCTGTGATCTTCAAAATAACAGCCTCTGTATGTGCAATAGCAATTATTATTACGCATTTCACTACAGAAAGAAAAATTAAATCGGAAAGTAAAGAAGCTAAAAGATTGGATTGCACTTACTTTATTATTTTGCGTCATTCCTTTTTCATAGTGTGCCAGTGCATTTACATAATCTCCACTACGAAGAGAGAGAGAGAGGTTTAGTGATATGTAAAAGACCAAGTATACAGAATGGTGTGTATGTGTTATGTGTGTATTCACTTACATAAACTCTAGATGGACAGCATACTCTTTGGATATAAAGGGAATCTGGTCTTCTGCGAGTCTCTTGGCCAACATAAGAGCGCTGTCCCAGTGCAACAGGTCTCTTCTCATCTAATACGCACACACATACACAAATAAAAATGATCTTACACTTACGGTTTTTACAAGTGAAGCCAGAATGAGACGAATGCAGCCAGCCCTCTATTACACAATAATACAAACACACCTCCAGGGCAGCGATAGGGGAGCACGAGGACAGATAAAGGTCTTGAGCCAGGTTGTAGTCACCCAGAAACATAGCCAAATGTCCTGCCAGTAAACTCTTGTCCTCTATACCCTGGAAAGAGCAGAGAAGTGTTATGTCAAATTTGTCAGGACACAGAGACTTATTGTTTGTATTAAGGAGCATGTGTAACAAACTGTGTGTTACCTGGATATCTTGCAGTGACAGGACCATGCCCACATTGCCACTCATGCGGTAGACCTGGATGGCCAACTCAACCTCCATGTGGACCAGACAGGCTTTGCCTAACTCTGCCCAGTCGGCTTTACTGCCTGCAGACTTGCACAGATCCCAGGCCTCATGGAACCTGGACGACAAGATTACATTATTTTGAAATCCTTCATCCTTCTTCTTGCTTGGTTCAGTGGTTCTTTCTCTTGCTGCAAGGTGTGATAGACTGTAAGTGTTAATTATTTATTTATTAGCTCTTTCTGTTATTTACTCCCTTACATTACTTTACTGCTGTATTTAAATGCTAAATTGTGTGAATGTGCTTTTATTTGAAATGTAGATTACTTCACTGACTAGAGTGCAAATTTGAAAGCGTTCTCTAAGACGAATTGGTAGGAGACCAAAAACAAAAACCTTTTCTGTACAGTGCTGAAATCACTGGGAAGGTATGACAGTTCCTTCCCAATGATTTTTTCCACTGCATCATGGTAAATATGTCCAGAGGAAAATTCCAGAAAAATGTAAAGCCTTCATATAAAGAATACTGATCATTTGGGTGTTCCAAATCTTTTATAATATCTAACAGTTTAAAACTGTTTTTATAGTACAGCTGCCTGTGCTAAAAATCAATTAACCCAATTTACTCTTCAACTGGCAAACACATAAAACATGTCAGATCACAGAGATATATGTCGTCAAAGCTGTGTCTACCACAAGCATACATTGTACAGTATTTGCAGCATGGCTAACCTTTTGAGCATAATAGCCTGGGCGAGCTGCTTGCTGAGCTCTGGCACTGAATCTGTGCCACTTGAGCGCTTGAGGAACGAGTGTGTGCTCAAAGACACCTCGCTGGTCTTCCCGCTTGCCGTCTGACAAGTCAGCTCACCGTTGTACAAGAGCAAAGGTTTCTGGGAAAAGGGAAGTGCAGTGCTTCCCACCAACACCACCTGTGGGCCTGAGCAGAGTGACAGAGGAGGAAATTTAATTTAAAAGACTGTATCTGTTTTGTCTCTTCTTTTAGAGGACTACACTTACAGTAGCATTTTAAGTGGACTATAGCCAAGACTGGTGCACTAAAGTTAAATACATATAGGTAGGTAGAAGTGGACTGATCACTTATCATTGATCATATGTGTGATGGTGTGGCATCTCCTTACCATATATGGTTGTTTTATGTAAGGCATAGGTGTAGACCTTGTCATCGTCATAAGCTACAAACACTCCTCTGTCCGCATGCCAGTTGTCCCACAGTATCCCTGTGATGGTAGGAGAGAAGTTGGGGAGCTCGACACAGGAGACTGTTGCCTGAATTAGACAAACATGCACAGACTCATCAAACTCTTGTTAATACCAGTTACATCTATATCTACACTTCTGTGTCCTTTTTCTTTTGAAGCATGTTGTACCTGAGGGTTTTAAAAATAACTTTATAAACTGTACTATGACACATTAGCATAACATAAGGTCATGAGATTTCTTCAGAAGTTGTGCATCATTTATTTGTAGTCTGAACTTTTCTTGTACTGAGGATCCTTTAATTACTACTACTACTACTATAGTGTGGTATCTTAACCATCTTCACCAGTGGAGAGAGACAGGAAATGTGAAGAAGGAGAGAAGGGAAGTGATGTACAGAAAAGGTCTGAGCTGGTCATGAATTGAATCAGGAACCTGCTGTCAATTGTGCCCATGTGTTCTGTACCTAAAACACTCGGCTGTCAGGTAGCCAATATTTAATAGTGTCTATGATTTTTTTTTTAAATCCTACCGTTATGAAATATTGCTGCATCTACCATGATGCCTCAGATTACATTTATAAAGTGTTTGCATATGGGGATGTGTGAGGTAAATTTGTACTGACGTTTGCTGGGGAGAGCAGGAAGCCGCCATTCTTGTCATCAATGAACACCAGTCGTGTGCCATTTAGGTCAGGAAACACTTTCCTCACTCCGACTGAGTGATTGTAGCTGCTCACTGTCTCCCAGTCCTCCACCAAGACACAGACCACATTACCTGACTGAAAAAAAGAGACTACAGTTTCTAGTAGCAGTGCACTGCCACATGAAAAAACTGATCAAATGGTGGGATGGAAGCAGATATGGGAGGAAGGGATCATGAAAAAAGAATAGGTGATAGACTCATTATGGGGAAAACAGAAAGTGGAGGGAAAATGAGGAGAGGTTAGAGGGGACACATTTAAACCACTGTCTGTGTTTGTAACAACTAAAAGAAGACAAAACTGATCATTTATTATTTACAACTCAAAATCCACACTCTCTTAACTGATGATTCTATACAGAACAAATACAGGAGTGCAACATTTGATGCAGAAATTACAACAACCAAGGTCAGATTTCTTGTTACTATGGAGCAGTGTGGCTGACTGACATGAGCATCTGCAGAGTCTTACATCAGTGCTGTAGTAGAGAAAGTCAGCGGTGAGGGCATGGTAAAGTATCCGGCCTTTTCCGTCATCGTCTGGAAAAAGCTTCATCGGCTTCTTCTCCTCGTGGTCTTTGTCTTCAATCTAAAGCACAACACAAACACACAGATTTGTAGTTTATTCATCCTAAGACAGTAAATAGTGAAGCCCGTTTAATGATCATTCATTGGTCAATAAAAAGAGAAACAAAGCACACATTAGATGACTCACTATGTGCAGCTGCACTTTTCCCTCAAACAGCGCTGCTGCGTAGTCTGCGTTGAGGCACATGCTGGCTATTGTCCCCAAATACTCAATGTCCTTCAGCTTTTTAAAACCTGAGTTACACACAAAACATTTCAGTGACAAATAAGTGCAGACATTCATTCACTCAGACGTGACTCAGTTAATTTACACGCAAACACCACATAATATTGTTTCTGAGGTTACAACACACACACACACACACACACACACACACACACACACACACACCAGGTTCTTGGTCTACTAGGGCGTAAAACCAGGCTCTGTTGTTCATCCCCACAGCCACATGGTACGGTCCCACTGCAATAAACGTGGGCTCTACTTCTACTTCTATGGCCACAGGACTCTCCTGAAATCACAGAGCAACAGAGACAGACTGAATATTGAATGTAGACATCAGTATTTACCACTGACAGAAGAAAGACACTGTTGGTTCAGTCTTATATACAGCATGTCCTCTTGTTAATTAGTGAATTTTCTATTATTCGCTTCTTGTCAGGACTACTGCAAGCCTCTTAAACTTTTCTGTTTTGTTGTTATTTGAAGTTTTGTTGTCAGCACACAAATCATCTCAAAAACTGCCTGACAAATTTCAGTTAAATATGATGAAAAGTTAAGTCATAGGCAGAGGAACAACTGACTGACTGACCATTTTGTGTTTGTGACAAAAAGACAAAATTTGTATTGTATTCCATGTCTAGCATAAATTAAACATTATCTACTCTCTGGTCTGTAACACATTTGGATGACCCCTGAGGAAATTACATTATTTCCTGTTTAATACCTCCAGATTTGCCACTTTAAACATCATAGCTCGTACAAACCACTGAGGATGTTTCTCATTACTGCAGAGAATTCTAAAACATTTTCAACCATTAAAATAGATTTAAAAGATAGTGCTGAATTGGTTTGAGTTTTGCGCATTTTTTTTTTGCTGTGCTGTGGTGTTCATTTTCCCTTGTCTAAGACAAATGGGTCTTGTTTGAGAAAACTCTTAAATGTTAGATACCATTGTTATTACTGTGTCTCCGTATGTGTGTGTGTGTGTGTGTGTGTGTGTGTACATTTGTGTATGTGCATATGTGTGTGTCCTCACCCCCTCCACTTGGTTGGAGATGGTGACCTCCAGCAGGGAGGTGAGGTAGGCCAGCCTGGTACTAAAGCTGTCACCCAGGATAGGCAGCTTGGTCAGGAAGACATGGAGTGTCCCTTTCTGTGTGGAAATAGCCAGCAGCTGGCCGTCATCTGTCCAGCTCAGCTGATCCAGACCTGCAGGAGGAGAGATGGAGAAGTGGGCCATGTTTTCAAAATGGCCTATCAAATTAAGCATGGCTGAGAAAGTGGACCGTCTCACCTTTAGTCTCATCATCCAGCTGAACCACATTGCTGATATCTTTGAGATCAGACAGCTCACAGATCTTTATGCTGCAATAAAAGCACAGGTCTAGTTTCTTGACTTTAAAAAAGGTGTGTGCGTGTACCTGTTGTCCTGACAAGAAGCAGCCTTGTTCAGTGCTAATGAAATGGTCACACTGTCGAATCCATCTTTAAACTCATAAGCCTGACAGAGCAAATTTCCTGTCTCCCTGATGATAAACACATCACCGTTGTCTACATCTTTACAAAAACTGTCTGAATAGTGGTGTTTTTTGTTAGAAACCTTGTGTGTACCTGTTGTCCCCACATGAAGCAGCCTTGTTTAGTGCTGGTGAGATGGCCACACTGTTGAGGCTATCTTTGTGGTTGTGAGCCTGATAGAGCTCATGCCCTATCTCCCTGATGTGTGTGGAAATAACCACAAAGTATCCAAGTGAGAAGCCAATGAGGATATACCCATCACCGTACCTGTACAGGGAGAAAGTGGAAGAGAGAGAATTCATTTTAGTACGAATATCTCAGCCATGATGCAGTACCAGTGTTTGGCAGTGTGTGTATGTGTGTGAAGATGTGCAGTACCAGCGGTAGGACACAATGTTCCCATAGCGCTGCTGGAAGGCCAGCTCTATTCGGTTTTCAGGGTCGTTGACATTGAAAAGCACCAGATTCTTCTTGCCTACTGACACACTCACCTAAAGGGTCAAAGATTGCAATAGGATGAACATCTGCCATGACATAACTTTTACATCCTGAATCCCTTATATATCATTGAATTACATTACTAAGAATTCTAACTGAACTGGAAATCCTCGTTCCTCTGCACACTAAAGATCAATCTTTATTTTGCTTTACAATTTATGAACAATTTATATCTGGTTTATATTAAATTAGTTATCACAATGAAGGCCAGTAGTCAACATATATGCATACATATATATATACATACAACATATATGTACTTGAAGAAAACAAACTTACAGTGCTCTCTCCTTGAGCAGACCTTTCATCAGTCTTCATGACCGAAAAATTAATTTCAGCGGGCTCACCACGAAGAGTTGTCTGGGAAAAGATCAGATAAATTAGCTGCATCATTTTATTTGGCTCTTTTTTTTCTCTTATTCTTTTTTATATAACTAGTAATACTGTGCGTTCTGTGCTTTTTCAAAACCACCTCAGTTTGCATCCTTTCACTAATCTCTCATGTACAGTATTACCACTGTAGCTTTAAATGTAGCATTTACTCTCGGTTGCTTGTCATATGAGTGACCTAGAAGCATAAGCGGGTGCACCTGGATGCCACTAACAGTAAAACAACCATAACATAAAAAAAGAAAGAAAAAAAAAAAGAAAAAGAAAAATTATATTCGTGCTGACATACAAAGTGTGCGTATCACTACCTGTCTGATGGTGTCCCCCTCGTGATTGCTGATGCTCAGTGTGTTGTCATCACTTCCCAGAGCCAGGAGATTCTGAGTACTCCAGCACCCACAGGTGATCTTCTTGGTGTGTTTACCTAACATGTGTGAAGTAAAAGGGACAGAAAGTCAATACTACAGAAGAAACTAAAGACTTACAAACCATAAAAAAGTACACATGCAGAGGTGTTGTGTGTGAATTACCCAGCACAGGGATCTTGCGAGAGGTCTGCTGATTGTAGATCAACAGGTTTCCTTTGGCTGTCCCGACTGCCAACAGCGGGCCAGTCTTTGACCACAAGAGGAAGGACATTTGATCCCTGTTTAAACCACAGACACAGCAGCAAGAAATAAACAGGTTTTCAGAAAAGACCAGAAATGTTTGAGCAGCATAGGTTGAAATTATGAATAAACTAACACAGACATCAGTTATTGAGCTAGTAGCAGCATACCTGGATCAGAACCTAATAATTTGCTACCTTCTCTCTTTTTGAAAACATGCTACATGCTTGTCGTACCTCATGCCACTGTCTATCTGGGATGTTTTATTGACACTGGCATCCCAGAGGTAGATGGAACTGGATTTTGCAGCTATCACTGCTAGAATGTCCCCATCCTTATCCCAGTCCATCCCCACACAGCGCCTATGGGATTGAGAGAAAGAAGAGAGAGAAAAGTAACTTACTGTAGGATGCAACAGCAAGTGGTAATCACTTCAACCTCCTTCGTGAGAGAAAACTGGAGCCATTATCATGTTCTCACACTTACCCAGGAAGGCTGAGCTCAGTCCACTTGTGTCCATGTCGATCAAATATTTTCACTGAGTTGTCCTGTCTGTATGATTAGAAATGCAATTCAAATTTCATGTACCATTCTGATGTAAATCTTGAAAAAAGGAAAGCAAAATATTACACAGTATTCTCAAACACAACAGGTTACCCACCCTGCGACAGCAATGTAGTTGCCAAGAGTTTTCTGCCACTTGTAGAGCAGGTTAGAACCCACCCATGCTGTGTCGGCAAGAATGAAAAGACTCTGCAGACAAAAAGATTATTTTTGAAGTCATGTTACAGTCCTTGAACTTGCATCATTTCATTCAGCCACTCTACCAAATATCTATGTCATAATTAATTTTGTGGTTAAGAAGAATACTTCTTAACAGGTGACACAATTTTTTTCCCCCTTTGTGGCTCTGGAGGAGCTTTGTCAAGCCTAAAAAATATTTACATGACTTCATTTGAGTTTGATTTGGAGACTGCAAATATTGAACACAAAGTCTGCACTACAAATGTTATGGGTATTAACATGAGAGTGGATCTAATCAATATTTGTGTCAAGCTCATCTATGGGAAGTTTAGTAACAGGCACTTTTTGGAGTTTTTGAAGGGACTTAAAGTCAGGATAGCTCAGGCACGTCTACATAACTTTTGGCCATGCTTCCCTTTCATTCCTGCCTCATTCATAATTCCTCCAGCAAATAATCATGTTCCTGTGGAAGAATAAGGATCAAGGGACAGATATGTACTGTACAGACACTGCAAAACTCTTTCAGTAAGGAGCTAGACTTCAACACAGTTGAACAGGGGATGGCTGTACATGATTCAAAGATAACTGTTAAAAACTAATTTCATGTTATTTGAAAGCATAGCACATCACTTGAAAAAAATGTATCAAAGACTACAAAAGCGCTCCTCAGTTCAAGTTTTATTGTCTCGCTGGAAAGCAAACATTCATTTTTCATCTTTTTTTCCATCTCTCTGCTCTAATTTTACCATCTTGATTGAAAATCATATAGCTGCTCCCTTCAGTGCATATTAATGAGGTCTGAGTCAGCAGGGTGTATTCTGCTTCAGCATGCCAGGGCACTGTGTGGAACATTTGTGTTACATGGCTAGAATTTCATTTCAGCCCCCTAATTGGTAGAGGCAGTCATCCTTCCATCAAGCTATATGGAACTACAGAAGGATCTTTGCCATCACAGCATTTTCCCCTGACTTTGGTCAATAACGAAACAACAGAGGGGTGTGGATGTTGACTGATTTATTTCAGATGAAAAGAAGGATGCTACAGTCTGCACTATTTAAAGTTCCCTGAGAGTGCTTGTTTTATGAATTGACTCTATTTAAAGAAAACTGAAACTGAATCAAACTTAATCTTCGTGCACATACATCTCTAAGTTTGTAGAGTGCCACTTTAACATATAGTACTCTTGAACTCTCGTGTCCTGTTTGTCACTGTCTTAAACTGCTGTTTAAAATATTTGGTGTTTACAGTAAGCTTAAGTTTGGGCACTTGCTGACATTAATATTTGATTCCAGTCACACACAATTTAGAAGATTATCTGACCAACTCTTTAATCAAGTACTCTTATTAAACGTGTTTTGTTAAAGGCATGACCATCGAAATGTCAAACGGATAAGTGGATGTATAAACACGGACGAAGTACTTCCTCATGAAACAATATTTGTTATCTGCAACAGGTGTCACACAAAATGTATCAGCATGGGTTATTTCCATTTTAATATAGTGACAAATGTTTGATCATTCACATGGTTAAACTGTAATGGCTAAAATTAATTTAGTTACGTACATTTTTTAAACCAAGAACTTACAAAAATATAAGCTGTTAAAAACGACTGATAACAGAAAGCTGCAACAGGGAATATTCGCTTACTATCACAAATAATGCAGGCTACTACTTTGACAGACTGTGTTGTGATTATTCTGGCTATTAACCAGCTAGCCAGACAGGGTTATTTTCAGTTGTCTTTAACGTTGTAACACACACAGTCTTTTTACATAAGTTTACTCAAACTTAGGAAAAAAATGTGTTCAATATCACACCTAGAACAGCAGTTCGTAAGCTGACTTTGCTCAACATAATATCCAACTAAAGAGTGTTTCTGTCTAAATACCTTTACGTTAGCTAACACGGTAGCTCGGTTACCAGGAGCTGCCTAAGTAACGCTACAGTTAGCAAGTAACTAGCTCGTTAGCTGAAGCTCGTTCATGCGATAAAAATCAACACCGGATTTATAAAACCAGAAGTAACGCTGTTGTTTTCAGTTTTTCGGTTGCTACCAACCTTCATCTTGAGGGCATTTGGTTACTTGAACGTTGAATCGATTTTTTTTTCTCTCTCTCTCAAAACATCCTCGACATAAACGGTTCGTGTGTTTCCCACAATGCTTCACTCTGAAGCGTCTACAGAAGCGATGTCATAGCAACAGTCAACAGCCAATCAGCGCCTCCGATACAAAACTGTGCAGAATAATGTCCTCTACTGAAGAATAGTTTTTAAATATGGAATTAGTCTAATTTTCAAGATACGTGACAGGATTCACACTACAAAATGATGGTTAATTCCTGCTAATAGACTCTCCATACAGTAGTGTTACTAGCAGTATTAGAGTTTTAGCTCGAATGGAGACAACTCCAATATTTAACTAATAAGGTCAGAAACTAGAATTTTGATTTTAAAGCATTGTAAGCAAACAACATTTTGAGTTCAGTACACCACCTACAGTAAGGTATATAGCAATAACAGCGTTTACAACTAATAATGGACTTGAGTTTTGATACTATTACAATATAATCTGTTTTTTATTTGCAAGCAAAAATTAGTCCAAAAATCTATTTATTAAGGGGACCATATTTTTAAATATTGTAGAGAGTTTCTTGTCATTAATTCAAGTGATTGTGAGATGCTAGCTGAAATTCCCTTTTCTGAACAGGTGTTTGAAAAGACACTTTAGAGTATTAGATGAGCTTTTTAAAATCCCACAGTGGGGAAATTTGCAGTGTTACAGTAGCAAATGGGATAGTTAAAAATGAACCAGGAATGAAATTAAAAACAAACCAGATACATATATAAGTGCTTCTGATTATGCACAGATTCTTCCATATGTAGAAATTCAGATACTGCACAAATTCCATTGAATGTGTAAAGTAACAATATTGCACAGGAATAGTCTATATGTAGAAAATACTGTTATTTCACACACACACACACACACACACACACACACACACACACATATATATATATATGTATATATGAATGCTTTGGTGTTGCACCAAAGTGAAATAAATCACATGTGAAAATAATAAAATCAAAAGATGGCTGAATTCCATTAAACTGATTCGGTCTTAAAGGTCCTTGTTGTGTCTCAACAACAGACCCATCATTTCTGTTCAACTGTCAGCACCTGACCTTTAAAAGGACCTCATAGTGAATAGTGGTCATGTGTATCTCACATTACCAGGGCTGAAACAGATTGAAAAGCTGAAACAACAGACAATGTTTAAAAGTGGCTCTTTATCTCTGTCACTCTCAAGAAAAGCTGCTCAAAAAACAGCATATAAAGTGAGTGCTAATCTCTGAGTGTGCAGCTGGCTGTGTTTGCTGTGGAGATATGCTGCGATATGCAGACTGTCTAACACAAGCCCAAGCACTGATCTGAGCTCTGCATCTGTCTCTTCACACTGCAATAAACAGAATGACTGTGAATAACAATTTGCAGACATTTATTAGATGCTTTATGTAGTCCAACTCAGCAAATAATGGAAATTATATTTTCTACTGTCAAAGTAACGTCATTTGAAGTTTTAATGACCTCACTGAATTTATGATCCCATCTGGTGCACTTGTTCAAGTGTTGCTTATTAACATCCCGCTGTCTGCAACACAGAGACTACAGATTGATAGAAATTCTCTATAATCTCCACTTTTACACATTGGAAAATTTAGCTGCTGGTATACTAGTTCCATTAAATTTCATAGTGCTGTTTCTTGGTGCTCCCCGTGCAGCGTGGGTTCTCTCCGGGTTCTCCGGCTTCCTCCCACACAGTCCAAAAACATGCTGAGGTTAATTGGTGATTCTAAATTGTCCGTAGGTGTGAATGTGAATGTGCCTGGTTGTCTGTGTCTAACTGTGGCCCTGTGATAGACTGGCGACCTGTCCAGGGTGTCCCCTGCCTTCGCCCTCAGTGAGCTGGGATAAGCACCAGTCCCCCCGCGAACCTAGTGAGGATTAAGCGGTGTATAGATAATGGATGGATGGATGGATGTTTCTTGGTGTATTTGTTGGTAGAGACATGAGAGTCATGACACAAATGCTGGAGAGGCTTTTCTGATGTGAGTTGGCAGAACAAGCAGGAAAAGCAGTAGCAGCAAATGTCACCTGTTTGAGAGCTTGTTTGTTGGCTGCAAGAGGCAGGAGTTGTTCACTGAAGCTTTTTTTTTCCCCCAACAGAAGCTACATCATTGTCTCTTACAAAGCTGCAAGGCATCACTTATATAAAACACACTGCACTTCTTTTAATTCAGAGTCTACAAACTTACGTGAACCAGAATTTTTACTGCTTGTAAAACTGAAAACAAAAACTCTTTCTTGCTTTTTACTTTGCTGCAAAAAACATTTTTTTAAACAATCTAGAACTCCTGCTCCATAGCTTTGAGATATATATATATATATATATATATATAAACTATCTTCTCATGTATTTTTTTTTTTTTACTTTGCTGAACATCCATCCATCCATCCATCCATCCATTTTCTCTCTCCTCCCAGGTGGACATGTTCGGAAAACCTCCAGAAGAAGCCTCCCCGGAGGCATCCGAATCAGATGTCCAAACCACCTCAACTGGCTTCTTTCGACGCGAAGGAGCAGCGGCTCTACTCTTTGCTCCATCCGGATGTCTGAGCACCTCACCCTATCTCTGAGGCTGAGCCCAGCTACCCTGTGGAGGGAGCTCATTGTTTCCGCGATGATGTTTTTTTCCGTCACGACCCAAAGCTTGTGACGACAGGTGAGGGTTGGGACGTAGATGGACTGGTAAATCTCTCTTCGCCACGATGGTCCGATACAGCACCCACATTACTGCTGGTGCCATACCAAGCCGCCTGTCCACCTCGCACTCCATTTTCCTATCACTCGTGAACAAGATCCCGAGATACTTAAACTCCCTCACTTGAGGAAGCAACCCCCCCACCCCCCACCCACCCGGAGGTGGAGGTTTCCGGCAGAGGACCATGGCCCCAGACTTGGAGGTACTGATCTGCATCCCTGCCACTTTGCACTCGGCTACAAACTGCTGCAGTGCATGCTGAAGGTCACAGTCTGATGAAGCCAGCAGTATCATGTCGTCTGCAAAAAGCAGAGACGCGATCCTGAGGTCCCCAAACCGGACACCCTCCTCACTCTGGCTGTGGTTTGAGATCCTGTCCATAAAGACCACAAACAGAATAGAGTACAGGGGCAGCCCTAACGAAGTCCAACATCCACTGGAAACGTGTCTGACTTATTGCCGAGAATCCGGACGCAGCTCGCACTTTGGTTCTACAGGGACCGAATGGTTCTTAGCAGCGAGCCTGGTATCTCATACTCCCTCAGTACCCCCCCACAGAATCCCTCCGGGAACACGGCCATAGGCCTTCTCCAGATCCACAAAACACATGTTGACTGGCAGGTCGAATTCCCATGCCTCCCTCAGCAGCTCCACAAGGGTAAAGAGCTGGTCCACTGTTCCATGACCAGGACGGAATCCGTATTGCTCCTCCTGAATCCGAAGTTCGACAATTGGTCAGAGCCTCCTTTCCAACACCCTAAAGTAAACTTTCCCAGGGACGTGGAGAAGTGTGATACCCTGGTAATTGGAACACACTCTCTGGTCCCCCTTTTTGTTAACGGGAACCACCACCCCAGTTTGCCACTCCACAGGCACTGTACCTGATGCCCACATGACACTGAAGAGACGTATCAGCCACGACAGTACGACAATGTCCAGAGCCTTCAGCATCTCAGGGCGAATCTTGTCCTCACCTGGTGCTTGGCCACCGAAGAGCTACCTCGGCAACCTCTACCATGGATATGGACGCAGAAACCCCCGAGTCTTCAGGCTCATCCCCCTCAATGGAGGAGGTGTTTACCGGGTTCAGGAGTTCCTCAAAGTGCTCCTTCCACTACTTGACAAGATCCCCAGTCTGAGTCAGCAGTTCTCCTCCCTGGCTGTACACCGCCTGGGCGAATCCCTGCCTCCCCTTCTTCGAGGCCGACCTAAAGTCCGTCTCCATAGCCTCCCTTAACTCCTCCCACACCCGAGTTTTAGGGTGTTTAGG